CCAAAGTGCAGGCTGTAGAAGATGGCATCTTGGACTTCAAGAGCTTCTAGGTTAATTTGGGGCAACAAAACAAACATAGGGGATAATTAAGCACTAAGCTATATGCAATTGCTTCTAAGTGCGAAAGGAATTTGGAGAAGGTAATGACAAACGTTGCTGTTGTTAGGTGCTGTCGAGTCAGTTCCTAGTCACGGTGACAACAGTACAACGAAACGAAACACTGCCCGGGTCCTGCGCCGGCTTTACAGTCGTTGCTGTGCTTGAGACCATTGTTGCAGCCACTGTGTCAGTCCGTCTCGTGGAGGGTCTTACATTTGCAGTGGTTCTCAAACATTTTTGCACTTATGTTTTTCATATTTTAATATGTTTAGAAATGGCATAAGTTCTGTAGCTCTTCCAAGTTCGGGTGTAACTTGCTTTGTCCTTCATATTATCTAATGAGAATTTTCCTAGGTTATTAAAAATTCATTGAAAACTTGAGTTTGTCCAACAACCCATCTTTGGGAGACCACAGAAAAATGATTATTCACTGAACTCATTGGACTTTCGAGCTGTTACCATGGATTCTGGAACATTTTGCTGCATTTACAAGTTCTCATGTCTGTCCTGCCACTAACCCAGGGTGCTCCAAGGGGGGAAGCCCTGGCCACCTTTGTCCTCAGTGCCAGCACCTGCCACGGCCAGACCCACAAAGGATTTTAAGAGGGGACACCTGGCAAGAGGCACCCACAACCGTGGCTCAAGAGGCCACAGGGCCAGCAAAATGGCTGCCTAAGGCAGAGGGGAGTGCAGAGGAGAAGGACAAGTGATGACCACATGGCTTGGCATGGTGCCGTTGGAGTAGGTGCCCATAGCTCTGCCAACCACTAGGATTGCACGACACAGAGTTCCGCTTCTCTGCCCTGGGTGTTCTGTGAAGAAAGTTACCTACTTCCTTTTTTTTTTTGAGCATGAAGCCCCACACTGCCACGGTGTTTCCCTACCAGGCCCCCAGACCCTGAGATGCAGCCTCCAGGTCTCAGCTTCCCCCAGTCCTCAGAGTGGTATCAGCTTCGAGGCCTCTGCCCTGCCAGGCTGCATCCCTCAGGCCTGTCTTGTGGGCAGTGAGGCAGTCCCTAGAGACACCCACACCCGGGCCGTTTCTCTGAGCCCCACGGTCTGCTCCACTCCTTCCAGAATCCAAAACCTTGTGGTGGAAAAGGCCTCTCTTACTCTGCGCAGAATGGCCCCACCCTGCTGGCCTATGCAGACTCTCTGCTCCCTTGCCCTCTTTCTGCCTCCCTCTCTCATTGTCCTGTTTCCACCTTTTCTTACCTTTCTTACCTCCCATGCATGGTCCAAGTCGTTCCCACCTTGCTATCAAAACTCACCTTTCCTGAGTCCCATCCATAGAACCCCCAACTCCACTCTGGCCAAGATGATCCACTCCTGTGAGCTAATGGCGAACACTGAGCCTGCTATGCACCAAATGACATCTTAGCTGCTGTAGGTACTCAGATGAGGAAGCATTGTTGCTGCCTTCTGTAAGCTCAGAGACTGGCTGGGGAGTCAGCCTAACACACACAAACGGGAAGAATTACGGTCCCAAATGATAGGAGTATACCAGAGCTGGGGCCGCTCAGAGGTGTGGAGGTGAGACTCCACTAGACAAGCCACGTTTGAGCCGTTTTGAAGGATGAGTAAGCATTTGCCAGATGGAGAGGGTGGGGGAAAGAATTCAAAGCAGAGGGAACAGTATTAGCCAAGGCCAGAAGGTGGGGCAGCCATGGCGTGTTCAGGAAGAAGTGAGCAGCAGATAGAGTGGGGTCAAGACTCAGCAGATGATGCTAGAAAAAATGTGTGTGGCCAGATCTCACAGGCCTTGAATGCCGGGCTAAAGAGTTAGAAGTGATTCTGAACAAATAGCAATCCAGGGCCTACTATTTGTCTGGTATAGCACCCCAAGGAGTGTTGAGGGGAGCTGTGGCCATGATCTACCCATTGCCGTCGAGTTGATTCTGCCTCATAGCGACACTATAGGACAGAGTAGAACTGCCCCATAGCGTTTCCAAGGAGCTACTGGTGGATTCAAACTGCTGACCTTTTTGTTAGCAGCCAAGCTCTTAACCACTGCACTGCCAGAGCTCCGGCCATGATCTAGGTGGGCAATAATGGGAATGTCCAGGCATGGGCAGGTGGTGGCCATGATCTAAAGCGAAAAAGAAAAAGTAAAAAACAGTTGCCTTCGAGTTCATTACGACTCATGGCGACCCCATGTGTGTCAGAGTAGAACTGTACTCCGTGGATTTTCGGTGGCTGATGTTTCAGAAGTAGATCATCAGGCCTTTCTTCTGAAGCACCTCTGGGTGGACTTCAACCTCCAACCTTTTGGTTAGCAGCCAAGCGTGTTAGCCATTTACACCACCCAGGGATCTGGGTGAGCAATAATGGGAGCGTCCAGGCATGGGGCCGGCAGTGGCCATGATCTAGGTGAGCGCTAGTGGGAGTGTCCAGGCACATTCTGTACATCATCTACCCCACGACTTCCATCTTCGCCCAAGTCTTGTGGAAAACTGTAGGTATCAGGGGCCTCAGCTCAAGTGTTGTGTCAGCCCGGCTGCCTGCTGCTCCTTACTAGGAAAACTTCCAAGTGGAGAACTTTATTGGGCCGTGTAGACATGGACACATTGCTTCCAATGCTCACTCCCCAGGACCAGAGGATCTGTGTGCTTGATGCAAAGCACAGGGAGAGTGAATCCACCACAGAGTGGTCAGGAGCTGTCCATGAAAGCAAAGCGTAGGCAACGAGTCGTGCAGACTACCTCTTCCAGATCACAGGGGAGCCCCAAGAGCTGCTCCCACTGTGGATGCACCAGGCCCTCAGGTTGTGGCTTCGATGTGCCAAGAGCTTTTCAAGCTGAAAAGAGTCACACAAATGTTTGCCATCCTTGTTAATGTGGCAACAGCAGGCCCCTCTCCCCTGGCCACAACACTCAGGCTGCAAGACACAGGATCTCTGCCCAGGACAGTGCCAGATACTGAGCCAGCCCTGTGCCCATGATAGCCCACCCAGAGGGAGGCACCCAGCTGGGTGGGTCACGACTCACTTTCTGTCAGTCCCTCACAGCCCCACTTCCCTGGAATGCCACTGCAAACCGTGACTAGGTTGGTGACCCTGCTGGCAAGGTGGGAAAAGCCCACATCCCCATGCTACCCATTTGTCAGAGCAGGTACACACAGAGCTGCTCCCGCCATTTTGTCCCATTCCTTCCTTTTCCACATCAAGAGCCTGCGTGTTCTCACCAACCCCCAGTGCTGGGGTGCACGCCCGCCGCCCTGCTACACACTGAGCTTGGGAGAGTCACCGAGATAGGAAGTGTCGCAAGTTCCTATGAAGGAAGGCTGCAGCACACAGGGTAAACACCTGGGCTTTAGAACTAGTCTAAAGGAGACCTGGTGGCACAGTGGTTAAGCACTCGGCTGCTCACCAAAAGGTCGGCAGTCTGAACCCACCAGCTGCTCTGTGGGAGAAAGATGTGGCAGTCTGCTTCTATAAAGATCACAGCATTGGCAACCTTATGGGGCAGTTCTGCTCTGTCCTATAGGGTCACTATGAGTCAGAATCAACTGGATGGCAACAAGTTAGAACTAGTCTGACCTGGTTCAAATCCCAGCTCCTTCACTCACTAACCCTGTGATCGTGAGCGAGTTATTGAATCTCTCTGAGTCTCTTGTCTTCATCTGGAAAATGGAGACAATGTTCAGACTGCCTCTCAAGGCTGGTGGTCAGGGATCAATGAGATAATCCGTGTTAAGCATGGAGCCCCCGGCCGCTGCTGAATGTTTGCTCCTACTACTATCCTTCATGCTAGTTTTGGAAGCTTTCTTACTGACAAATCCCTCCTCAAGCCAAAACAAGACCTTGCGTGAGAGGCTCGGGGCCCGGCCATTGTCAAGGGCCTGTCTGTCTAAATCTCCATCCACCTCTAAAATTAACAGGTTGGACAAGACCTGGGTGCCATGTTCCTCTCCATGGAAGCGTTGCTTGAGTTAGCTTCAGACTGATCTGCAAGCCAGCTGAAATGAAATGTTGGGTCTCTGTGACTTTTTTTTTTTTTTTTTTTTTTTTGGCAAATCCTGAGCTTTCATCAGCTTCCTGGTGGAAGTGGTACCCAGAGGTCAAGACCTCCCAAGCTAGTTGACCTATGATGCCCTTTCAGCTCAGCTATTCCACAGCCCTTACCAAGAACAAGCCTAGTGCTGACCAGCACGGCCTCCGTAGGGACAGGCCTCACAAGAGGGGCTGCTGTGGTGGCTGTGACGATGGGCTGAGTCCATGAGGACTGGGCTAATGGAAGGACGTTCGTTCACCAGAACTTTGCTCACTGGTGCCGGAGCCCCCGCTATCTGCTCTGGCTTCCCCCACCTGGAAGCATGGGACTGGCTTTTTATTTTAACATTGAGATTGACCTGAGTCAAAATCATTTTGCAGTGACCAGGGGTTCCCTGCTTGGGCAGTAAGGTCGGATCCCACTGGCCACAATCCATGGGTTTGTTCTTCCAGTGTATAGCAATCGGGGTGGCCAAAACAGGCTGAACGATTCCAAGTTGCCAAAGCACCTTCCCGGATAGGAATGAACTTCCTCCTTGCAAGCCTGGGATGTGGGTACTGTCATCACTCCCATTTTAGAGATGATTCGACTGAGGCCTAGAAAGGTCAAGTGACCTGCCCCAGAGCACCTCGCTGGGCGCGTGCAGGAACTTTTCTGTCCCCTCTTCCCCACCCGCCTGGCTCTAGAGCACAGCGGGTTGTCACCCTGGGTGCTGCGGAGCTTCGCATGGGGCTTCCCCTCGCCGGGCAGGAAGTGGTGGGAGAGGTTTAAAACAGCCCCAGCGGGGAAAACAACCCTCAGAACAGTGAAGCAAATGCCTTGGGTGGCCTTGCCCTCGCCCCGCCCCAAACACCACCCTCTCTGGGCAGCTCAACAAACTGATTGCCTCTCCTGTTCTTGTCTCCACAGGCTTCTGGGACTCCGCGATGAACCCCCGGCGAGCCGCGTGGAGCCCAGCGGAGCCCCCTGGAGACCCAGCCCCCGGGGGAGCACCCTCAGCCTCCAGCCTCAGGCCCACGGCCCATTACGCAAACTGTTCCTGCGAAATCGAGCTGGCAGTAGGAAATGACCACCTGTGGTTCGTGAACCCTGTCTTCATGGAAGACTGCTGCAGCGCCCAGTCCACTGACCCGCCACCCCCTGGAAGCTGCCCTGTGTGCCTCTTGCCCCCCGCCTCCGAAGCTACCTCACCCACCTCCCGGTGGGCCCCACGCCGCCCCCCACCCCCGCCCCCAACGCCCCCTGTCAATCTCTCCGGCCCAGCCCGGCCTCCTCCTCTCTCCCCTCCTCCGCTCCCTGCTCCTGCTCCTGCTCCTGCTCCTGCTCCCGCTCCTGCTCCTGCTCTTCCTTGCCCTTCACCCCTTTCTGATCCTGTAGCTGCTGCTCCCCACTCCCCAGAGGCACTCGCTCCCACACCCCCAGTTTCTGCCCCCCACCTGGCACCCCATGCCTCAGGCCCCCCAGACCTTCCAAGCCAGCCACCCATGACAGCCTGCAAGAGTCTCCCATGCCCCACCCCAGGCCTGGGCCCCCTCAGGGAGGAAGAGATGAAGCAGGGAGCCGCCCCCAGCCCCTTGCAGCAGGCCCCGGCCCATCCACCGCTCTCGAAGAAGAGACTTCCTGCTGTACCCCCTAGACGTCACCTCTCCGAGAGGGTCTCCTTAGAGGACCTCAGCTCGAGGAAAGCAGACAAGGGGGTGGCAGCAGAGGGGGACCAGCTGGGCAATTCCAGAGCAACCTTGCTCAGCCTGCCTCTCCAGGGGACCTCAGACAGTCCTGGGGACAGGCCTCCGAGGACCACGGAGCAAGACCAGGAAGCAGAGGCCAAAGCCAGTGACCTGGGCAGCATACAGGAGCCTCCAAGGAAGACCAGGCAGCCTCCAGTGCCGCCCCCCAGGAAGAAACGCATCTCCCGGCAGCTGGCCTCCAACCTCCCGAGTCCCTTGGAGAGCACTGAGCGCTCCACAGAGGAGGTGGCCCCTGAGAAGCCCCCTCCTGAGCCACCCAAGGAAGGCCCAAGCCCTGCCCCCCAAGCTGGGACTCAGAGCCTCCATGCCCAGGCCAGGGCCCATCCCCAGAGCTCCCCAGAATTCAGAGGCTCCCTGGCCTCCCTCTCAGACAGCCTTGGTGTGCCTGCCTCTGCTGCAGACCAGGACTCCTATTCAACCAGCAGCACAGAGGAGGAACTGGAACAGTTCCTCAGCCCCAGCGTGAAGAAGAAGCCGTCGATGATCCTGGGCAAGGCACGGCACCGGCTGAGCTTGGCGAGCTTCACCAATGTCTTCCAGGCCTTCCTCTCCAGCAACCGAAAGCTGTACAAGAAGGTGGTGGAGCTGGCGCAGGACAAGTCCTCATACTTCGGCAGCCTGGTGCAAGACTACAAGGTGTACAGCCAGGAGATGATGACGCACCAGTCCTCCAGCACCGAGATGCTGCAGGAGATCCGCACCATGATGACCCAGCTCAAGAGCTACCTGCTGCAGAGCACCGAGCTCAAGGCCCTAGTGGACCCTACCCTGCACATGGAGGAGGAGCTCGGTCAGTGCCTGGGCAGGGCTACGGGTGGGTGCAAGGAAGGGAAGGACAAAGGGGCTCATAGGCTCAGGAGCCACTTAGGACAGAAGAGGTCTCTGTAGTGGGCATGTTGGTGTCCTGTCCATATCCCCTTCCCCGGCCTGGTGCAACCATCCCACTGTGGTGTGAGTGTTGGCTGTTAATGGCTCAGAGCTGCCCCCTTTTCTGGAGACTTGACCTTGGCCATAAAGGATCCATATTGCCTGCACCCCTCCCCTCAACTGGCAGCTCTCAGCTAGTCACTGTCTGCCATGGGGTACAAAAGGCCACCCCCTTACCTCAAGGTGGGACCTACTATGTGTTGCTACAAAACTCCCTGTGGGATCAGGCTGTGGCTGAGACCAGATCCTTGCTCCAGCCCTTCCCCGGCCCCATCCTTCTTCCTCCTTTTCTTCCGAGGGCTCTCCCCAAATCAGTGGTAGGTGTCGAATCCCTGTCTCAGGCTCTGTTTCTGGGGAACCGACCTAAGACAGCTTGCTGCTCAACCACCCCTTCTAAAGCATTCCTCGGCCCTCCTCCACCCACCACTAGCCTCTACTTGAGTCGCTGTCAAATCTTTTTCAATTGTGATCCACAATGAGAAATATATTTCACATTGCAATCAATTACGCACATATATAAATATTTAAAATATTCAGCAAGATCACACTGCTGTGGCGACCCACTTGTGAAAACACTGAAGGTCTTCTGAACCCATTGGAAATAGACACCACCCCAAGCCCTCAAGTGCCACCTCCCCTGGGAACCTCCAGCCCATCCCACCAAATTCAACACTGAAAGGGTCAGTGTCACAAGAAGGGACATTTGGAACTCTACAGCCAGGTAGATTCCTAGTGAATGTTTCTTAAAAAGACAGCTTAAGTGCTGCTTTTCCCAGCGCTATTGGATTTCGATTGTGGACTCCTGAGAACGGCTAAGTTTGCATGGCCCAAGGACTGAGGGTGGAACTTCAGACACAGTGATAGGGAGTGGAGTTGAGACGTGGGGGAGATCGCAGGAGCCCAGTGCCACGTGTGCATCGGCATGGAGCCCTGAGTTGTCGGGAGCCCATTACCTGCGGTTGGAAAGGCCTCATGGGCAGGAAGTCGGGGATTCAGGGATGGGGGCGGCATGGGCTGGGCCCTCCCACGACAGCCCATTCCCCATCAGGTGGCTGACTCAGAGTCTGAGGCCCAGCCCGGAGGGGCTCGTGGTCTGAGCAGGGAGTCAGCTGAGCAAGTGGGTTCGTCCAACAATGACTGATCACCCACTGTGTGCCAGACACTCTTGGGAAGCAAAATCGGCAAAACCTCTTCCCTGGGGACCTTACCGTCTAGCGAGCGTGAAATGCAGCAAACATGGCAGTGGGTAAATGCTAGAATAAGATGTACAGGAGCAAAGGCGAAAGTGATAGGAAGTGAAGTCAGGGAGTCATGGGGGTGTCTTAGTTACCTAGTGCTGCTGGGTGGCTTTAACGAACAGAAGTGTATTTTCTCACAGTTCAGGACGTTAGAAGTCCTCATTGAGGGTGCTGGCTCTAGAGGAAGTCTTCCTCTCTCTGTCTGTTGGCTCTGGGGGAAGGGCCTTGTCTCCTCAGCTTGTCTAGCCCAGACGTTCCTCTGTTCCTTCGCGATTTCCATGTGGCATCTGTCTTTCCCCCGTTCGTGCTTGTTTGCTCTGTGCCTGATCTGCTCCTTCCGCATCTCCAAAGTCATTAGGTTTAAGATACACCCTACGGCGATACGGCCTCATTAACATAAAAAAGGAAGCCCTGTTCCCAAATGGGATGATATCCACAGGTATAGGGGTTGGGATTCTAACACATATTTTGGGGGACACGGTTCATTCCATAACAGGGAGGCAGGCCATGCAGGGCCATGTGGACTGCTAAAGACCTTGCTTTGACTCTGAATGAGATTGGGCAGTGGGAGTGGGAGCAGAGGGGTGGCAAAATCTCACGGATTAACATTTGATAAATTTACGTTTCCACATTCACTCTGGCCATTGTGCCGAGTGGAAGCAGAGAGACCCAGAGGAGGTTACTGCAATAACCAGGCCAGCAGCGAAGGGGGCTGATGGCTTGGATGGGGTGGAGGTGGAGGAGGGAGTGGGAAGTGGTCAGATTCTGGATCTTTTGTGAAGGTGTAGCCAGCAGGATCTGCTGGCCGACTGGATGTGGGCTGAGAGACAGGAGGCAGGGTGGGTACAAGAGCTTGTATACCAACCCCTGGTAGGGTGCAGTTGCCATCCCCCGAGATGGAGCGTCTGGGTGGGGTAAGGTGGTTTGGTGGGAGCTGGGAGATGCCTGTCCACTTGGTCTTTGAGACGCCCGTTGGACACGCAATGGAGAGGAGGAGTAAGCAGTTGAGATATGCATCTGTGGTTCTGGGGAGGAGGGTGAGCTAAGAGCCGTGAGCCTGGTGAGATCATCTGGAACCCTAGGACAAAGCCCCAGCACCATATGAACGGGGAGGCATGGAGGATGTGGAAGGGCATGGAAGGCTCACAGTGGCCCTGAGGAAGCTGAGGTCAGCCCTGCCTTCCAGAGTGTCGGAGCTGGGGCCCAGAAGAGAAGTAAGAGGTTACCAGGCTCAGTGTGGACAAGGGCAGAGAGGGGGAGGGTTGTGGGTGTGTCATGCGGGGCCATGACAATCAGGCAGAGGATTGGTCTGGAGGTGATGGAACCCCTGAAGGTGTGTTGTGTGGAGGGCAAAGAGGAAGGGGTGAGGCAGGGAGAGCAGTCAGGAGACTGGCCTGGTGGCCTGGGATCAGGCAATGGAGGCTCCATACAAGCCTAGCCCATGCAGGAAGGACCCCAGCCCCAGCGTGCACCAGCCTCCGAGTATCTGTCAAGGCCAACTTTGTGCCAGGTACCTGGATGCCAAGAAGGGTCAGACTCAGAATCCAGCCAGGCAGGTGACATGGCAGAGTGTCACCAGAACCTGCCCATGCATACGATTGTGGAGCAGGAGGCCTCCAGGCAGAGAGAGGGTGGCCGCTGAGCTGCGCTGCTAGGGATGGGGAGGGTTGGAGCTGCAGAGATGGTGGGGAAGTTGCTCCAAGGGAGGGACACAGTCAGCATCAATGGTGATAGCACCATCCCCAGCTCTGCACGTTTCAGCCTGTTGACTGAGCCAGACTCCACAGGCTTGGGCTGCTGGGATTCTCGAGCAACCGCAGCTCAGAGATGGCTAGTGTCTTAGATACTTAGTGCTGCTGTTACCACAAATACCACAGGCGGGCTCCTTTAAAGAACAAAAATGCATTGTCTCACGGTTCTGGAGGCTCGAAGTCCAAATCTGGGTCTCGGCCATGTCGTGATTCTTTCCTCGTCAGTAGCCCTAGGCCTTCCTTGGTTCCTTGTAGATGATCCGCACAAGGTGTCTGTCTTCTGTTTGTCTGTCTATTCTGCTCGTTCTATAACTCAGAAGTGATTAGGTTTAGGATCCACCCTACACTGGTATGGTCTGATTAACATGACAAAGAAACCCCTATTTCCAGACAGGATCACATCCACAGGATGTTGCTGTTATTAGGTGCCGTCAAGTTGGTTCCAATTCACAGTGACCCTATGCACCACTGGACAATTCTTTTCAGCAGTAGACTGCCGGGTCCTTTTTCCTAGTCTGTCTTAGTCTGGAAGCTCAGCTGAAACCTGCCCGCCATGGGTGACCCCGCTGGTGTCTGAGTACCAGCGGCATAGCTTCCAGCATCACAGCAACACGCAAGCCCCCACCGTACGACAAACTGACAGACACGTGGGGATATCCACAGTATAGGGGTTAAGATTTCAACACACATTTTGAGGGGACACAGTTCAACCGATAACCACTGGCCAAGATCACACAGACAGCGGTGGTAGAGCTGGGGTTCAAATGCAGACAATCTGACCCCATCCTTGAACTAACCACTCTACTGTTCTGCCTTGTACTTGAAGCTCTGTCCACGTGCCAGGTAGACAGTAGAAGAACCTAAAAACCACCGAGTAGGCTGAACAGAACCCCACACTCGAGTGCTCTGATTTTATCAGGGACACGAGGCACGAGGAGCAGCCTGTGAAGAACAAAGGACTAACGGGTGGCCTAAAGGGCCAGTGTCTGCAGAGGAGGCAGCTGCAGGAGACCTGGCAGCTCTCAGAGATGACAGGGACCCTGGCGCCAGGGGCTGTAGCCCTGTCCTATTGCAGATGAGGAAGCAGACCCTGGAAGGGGAGGTGACTAAGCCAAGGTCACCCAGGGGCAGCCGAGGAGCTGACTGAGGCAAGTCCTTGCCCCCAGGTCACCATACTGTTACTGCGATAATGCGGATTGGAGCCGCCTGCCGCAATAGCCAATTCTGAGGCGGGTGAGGTGAGAAGCCAGAGTTTTATTATATATTGATACATAGGAGACAGAAGGGAATAGATTCCTCAAAAAATCCCATCTCCCCCACTGGGGATCGGCTGAAGGCTTTTATAGGGACAGGATTATGGGTCTTAGAAGTTTGTGTTAGTTCCCCCTTGAGGTGGTCACATCCCAGATGAGTTCATCCTTTCTTGGGGGTTGTCTGGTGACATCCTGGTTTTCTTGTCCCAAGATGGGTGCTTTGTTCAGTTTGTCATTCTACATCATTATCACTTGTTCTCCACCCTCCAAGGAGGAACCTCGGTTAATCTTAAACCTTTTGTGGAGGCTGGAACCAGGGGGAGAAACAAGATCATGAGACAGTGTGGGGGTCAGCCATGGGGAGGAAATAACTGAGCTGGGCCTGGGCAGCCTCTTCCAGTACCTCCAGCAGCAAAAGGCTCTGAGGGGGTAGAGGGGGTAGAGGGGGTAGAGAACATAAGGCAGGCCAGGATCAGGGTAAGGTGGGCCCGAAGCAGCTGGAGAAGCAGAGGGAAGAAGGAAGTGGCAGGATGGGGACCCAGGATGGCCAGGACCAGCCCTAAACCCAGACATGTGCCAGCCCCAGGGAAGGGTTGTTTGGGCCTCATCTGAGACTCAACCAGGGGGCATGAGCCCCTCCCTCTCCTCCCAAGGATAGGACACCTCAGGTGTCACCATGCTGCCCCAGCAGGATCTCCCCTTACTGGACCCATAACTCAGACCCTCCCCCTGGAGACAGGGGTAGGGCCAAGAAGGGCTCCTGAGAATATTTCCCAACTGTCACCCCAGCAGCTGAATGGCACCTTGGTGTCAAGTAGGCTTGGGTTCAAATCCTCATTCAGCCCCTATGGAGCTATATAATGCCCCCCCACACACACACACCAGAGCTTTAATAGATCTTGTAGAAGGGGAATAAGAACATGCATATGGCAGGGTTGTTGTGAGGGCAAAGCTCACTAACTCCCATTTCACTTGATGGTCAGGGACGGATGGCCTCTCAGATAAGATGACATTTGAACAATGAAGGAACAAGACACACGGGTATCTGTGTGGTAACTGCTGCAGGCAAAGGGCATAGCAAGTGCAAAGGCCCTGAGGCAGGAGCAGTCTGGCAGTTTAGAGGAGCGGCAAGCAGGCCAGAGTGGCTGGAGTAGGATGAGCCCAGGGGAGCGGACAAGGCCATGAGTCAGGTCACAAGAGCAGATCCCACAGGTCCTTCTAAGCTATGGGGAAGACCGGCTTTTACTGCTTGTGAGATGGGAGCCCTTGGGGGGTTCCACGCAGAGGAGCGTCAGGACCTAACATGTCATAACAAGATTACGCTGGCTGCTGTGCTGAGAATGGACAGTCAAGGGCCAGGGCAAGAAGCTACTGAAGTACGTAGGCAAGAGATGATAGTAGCCCAGGTCCCAGTGGTAGCGTAGGATTGGTGAGAAGTCAGATTCTGGGTACAGTGGATTTTGAGACCAGAGTCAAGTGGATTTGGGAATTGAAAGAAAGAGAGGCATCAAGAATAGCTCCACCAAACGTTTACTGGACACCTGCGTTCTCTGTGTACAGCTGCACAGGTTGTACACTGCACAGCTCCGGCGTCAATGGTGCACTCTAGAGTTCTGTGCTGAGGCAGCGCTGGGAGCATGTACTCTGTGCCAGACCTTGCGGGAGGCATTAGGATACAATGCAGGATCAGTCCCAGGGGGCTCCTGGGCCGGCATCTTTGTAGTGTGGCTTTCTGTTGAGTGTATGACACTGTCTCACATGTCAGAGCCACAAGGTGTGACTGCTGGCGCTGTGTGTGTGTTTCCAGGGACAGGGTGGAGTGGTCGAACTGTGGGGTGCAGGGCCGGCGGCAGGATCCCCGCGGCTGGCTTCCTCACCCTCCCATTCTCACCCGCCTACAGAAGCGATTGTGGAGTCCGCCTTGTACAAATGTGTCCTGAAGCCCCTGAAAGATGCCATCAACTCCTGTCTGCACGAGATCCACAGCAAGGACGGCTCGCTGCAGCAGATCAAGGAGAACCAGCTGGTGGTCCTAGCCACCACCACCACCGACCTGGGCGTGACCACCAGCGTGCCGGAGATGCCCATCATGGAGAAGATCCTGCAGAAGTTCTCCAGTATGCACAAGGCCTACTCACCCGAGAAGAAGATTGCCGTCCTGCTCAAGACCTGCAAACTCATCTATGACTCCATGGCCCTCGGCAACCCAGGTAGGTGGGCAGCTGCGGAGGGCCTGGCTGGGGGCTCTCTCCAGATCCCTCAAGCTATGGTGTTGTGTGTGTCCGTGACCCCTGCCAAGGACTTCAGAGCCCTTGGAAGGCCCCTGGCACTAGAGTAATCCTTCCAGATTCAGAGGCCTGTCAGACCAGGAAGAGGGCTGTGATGGGTTGCTACATTGAAGGCAAGCAAGGAAGCCCGCCCGTACCGTGCCTTTGTGTGAATTAGGAAAAAGTACCTGTGTAAGTCCACCGTTTGTAAGTCCACCGTTTACAAGTCCACGGGCAGGCAAACTGGTCCGCTGATCTGGTCCAGCACGCCCAAGCTTGGCTGGGTTCACTCATAGATGTGTCGTCATTGGTGGGCTGATCGGAGGCTGGCTGATCTAGGATGGTCTTGCTCTTATATTGAGTGGTTGATTGGCGGTTGGCTGGTCTGGGGTAGGGGGCACTGGGCCACGTGTTTCTCATCGTCCCGCAGTCTGGCCTGGGCTTGTGCCCGTGGCAGTAGCAGGAGTCTAAGAGCAAGCAATGCCTGCAAGGCCTCTTGAGGCCTGGGCTTGAATGGCCACAGTGTCACTCTGACATAGTTCATTGAGCAAACAAGTCACAAGGCCAGCCCAAATTCAAGGATGGAGGAAATAGACTCCTCCTCTTGTTGGGAAGTGCCGAGAGTCACATTGCAAGGGGTACGGATACAGAGAAGGGACTCATTTATCATCCGTTTAGCACAGCAGTCCTCCAGACAGACAGGAACAGACCCCACCGCACCCGGTGCACACCTAGGCGAACAAAACACAGGCCAGATGTCATCCCCCAATCATCCCTTCAGCTGCATGCCCTTGTGCAGTGAGCAGCCTGTGCAACTCTACAGGGCAGCCCTGGTAACGGCGAGTGGAAGGATTGTTAACTCTGAAGCCACACAGACCTCGGCTCAAATTCCTGTGCCGTGGAGTTGACTCTGACTCATAGTGACCCTGTAGGACAGAGCAGAGCTGCCCCATAGGGTTTCCAAGACTGTAATCTTTACAGAAGCAGAATGCCACATCTTTCTCCCGAGGAGCAGCTGGTGGGTTCTAACTGCCGACCTTTTGGTTATCAGCCAAGCTCTTAACCACTGCGCCACAGTGCTCCTTACACTGAGTTAGAACTACTCATTGACGCTTTGTCCTAGTGTTGGCTGTGTCACTGGAGGCGGCAGGGATGTAGCAGCGGTAGGATGTTGTAGTGGAGGTCTTTTTCACGATGTGGATGTTAGCCTTGGAGGTCTGGGTGTCCTGTGCAGACTGGAGCCCAGAGAACAGGCCCAGGATGTGAACTCCACAGTGGAGTAACATCCTAAAATGTTGCTGAGCTGGGGGCCAGGGGCGGCCTGCAAAGCCCAGAGCTCTGGAAGAGCTTGACAAGGAACCCTGGGAAGTGTCCCAGCATGCCTGGCAGCAGCACGTGAAGCTGAAGGCCCCATCGTGGCCCAGCAAAGACCTGGCCAGGAGCTAGCCTGGAACCTTCCCAGAGCCTCTCAGAGTAGACAGTCCTGGTCATACAGCACCCGGGAGGGAGGAGGCAAGCTCAGGGCATCCTGCATCCTGTATAGAGGAGCAGCAGCAAAACCTGGCCAAGCCAGAAAGAAGGCAGAGCCTTTGCAGGGAGCAGCCTCAGAGAGACAGAAAGTGGACAAGAAGGACCCAGGTTCCCTTCCTAGCTCGGCGCCTTCCCGACTCTGCGACGGCACTCAGGTTACTTCGGCACTAGGGGCCTTAGTTTCCTCTCGAACCGACCGCATGAGGCAAGCCATGAGCTTTAGATGAGTCTGCATTTTGCATCTAGCACGACTACCAGCGCTTAATGGGAGCTGCCTTCCTCATCTGTACTTCTCATTACGGGAATCACTTCCCCCGGGACCATGCTGGGTTCGGGGTAAAGTCAGGGCCAAGGGCTCTACAAATGTGGAGACATTATTAGGAAGACAGCTTTGTGCTGGCAAAGGGCCATTCCTTTCTCAGTGAGCCCCCTCACTAGTTTACCCAGAAGCCGCTGGCTTCCTGGAAGAATTCTTTTAAAAACCCAACCTCTTGGCAGTGAGGTTCAGACACCATGATTTTTTCCAACAGTGTATTTTCTTACTAAAAGAGATACCTGAATATTGTGTGATTCGGCTTATATGAAATATCTAGAACAGGCAAATGTATAGAGAGAGAATGTAGATTAGAGGTTACCAGGAGCTGGGGGAGGGCGGAGGGGGAGATACGGCTTAATGGGTGCAGAGTTTCTGTTTGGGGTGATGGTGGTAATGGTTCCACAACATTGTGAATATAATTAATGTCACCAAACTGTGCACTGAAAACTGGTTGAGATAGCAAATTTTATGTATAGGTATCTTACGACAATAAAAAAGGAAAAAAAATTTAGCTGAGAGCAGGGAATTGGGAAAAACTAAACCCGCCGCTGTCAAGTCGATTCCGACTCATAGTGATCCTATAGGACAGAGTAGAACCGCTTCATAGAGTTTCCAAGGAACAGCCGGTAGATTTGAACTGCCAGCCTTTTTGGTGTGCGGCCACAGCGCGCTGTGGCTCTTAAGCTCTGCGTCACCAGGGCCCCAGGGAATCAGGAAGGGATGGCTGATTTTGAAGGAAAGGGAAGGGGAAAGAAAGGCAGTAACTAGAGTGCCTGCCTGGAGCAGCAGGAGAAAGAGCAGAGAGTGGAGCAGAACAAGGGGGCTTACCATTCCCCATCCTCCGTGGGAAGGTGCTAGAATCTCAGCTGATTCAAAAGCCAGGCTCCAGCAGGTAGACTCTGCGCTCTGAGGGCAGGCCAGTGTGAAAGTTCCCTGCCAGGAACAGATACGTTTCTCATTAGGGAACAGACGGCGCGTTTCCTTCCCACCACTGGAGGAGCACTTCACTGGGAGTGCAGAGCCTCCTAATCTCACCACTGCCCCTAACAGGCTGGGGCTGCCCCCTCAGAGTCTCAGCTTCTTCACCTGGGAGGAAGCAGTTTCTGCCAAGAGATGCAGGGACTTTGGGGTTCGTTCAGCAGACCTGGGTGTGAACCCCAGCTTCGGTGCTGTAGCCCTGGACACTCACCCTGCTGGGCCTCTGCCTGTGTATAAAATGGGGATAAAAGATCTGCTCCTCCGGGTCACCTGGGAAGTACCTGGACCATGTCGGTGCTCAAAGTTACGTAGCTTCCTAAGCCTCAGTGTTCTCGTTTATAAATGAGGCTAGAAAGGCCTCTCTTGGGACTGTTGTAAGGATCAGATACGACCAAGTATGTGTGTGCATGTGTTAAACAGGTGTTAGGACGCAGGAATGGCTGCCTCCCCCCCACATCCCCAGAAATGTGGAGTCTGAACCTGCTCCGTGGTTTCCAAGCTGGGTTCCATGAAGCGCCCCAGAGGTTCCCGGGACAGGCTGAATCCCACACCAGCCTCACCCTGGACCACCTGCCTGCACCTGTTTTACACATGGGGTTCCACCTGGGATTTTGTTTGAAACAAAGAGTTCTGCAACTGGTTTGTTGTTGTTTAACCATGTATTTGGAAATAATTTCTAACTTCACATAGTTCCAAGAATAAAAATAATATATTGAAATAGTAACACCCACGTACTCTTTGTTAACATGTTACCAAATTTGCTGTGTCCTTTGCACTAGCTCTGTCTTTATCTCTCTGTGTATACGTAATTTTTTTTTCTGAACCCGACACCCTAGCCCTTTACATACATCTTAGTCCTTTACCCCGGAATGCTTCCCCTTTACCCGTAAATGCTTTCCTAAGAACAGAGACATTCTCTTACATAACCACAGTGCAGTTGTCCACTTCATAACTTTACACCAATACAATATTGTTTTCCAATCTACCACCCTTATTGCAGGCCATCAACTGACCTGAGAAGGTCCTTTCCAGCATTTCCCCCTCCTCTTCAGGATCTCAGGGTCTCGTCGAGGACCAGGCACTACACTTAGTTATCCAGGTCTTCGTGGTTGTTGTTATCATTAGCTGCTGTCAAGTCAGCCCCCAACTCACAGCAACCCCATGAACAATGGAACAAAACACTGCCTGGCCCTGTACCATTCCCGTGATCAGTTGCAACTCCGATGTGATTCATAGGGTTTCTACTGGCTGATTTTTGGAAGTAGATTGCCAAGCCTTTCTTCCTAGTCCATCTTAGTCTGGAAGCTCTGCTGAAACCTGTTCCGCATCATAGCGACACCCAAGCTTCCACCGATGGTGGCTGTGTGTGAGGTGAATTGGCGGGGAATCGAACCAGGTCTCCCGCATAGAAGGCAAGAGTTTCACACTGAAGCACCACTGCCCCCGTGTGTCTTTGTTGTTGTTGTTAGGTGCCGTCGAGTGGATTCTGACTCCTAGCAACCCTGTGTACAACAGAAGGAAGTACCGCCCAGTCCTGCTCCATCCTCGTGATCGTTGTTACACTTGAGCCCATTGTTGCAGCCACTGTGTCAGTCCATCTCACTGAAGGTCTTCCTCTTTTTCGCTGACCCTCTACCTTACCAAGCATGATGTCCTTCTCCAGGACTGATCCCTCCTGATAACGTGTCCAAAGCATGTGAGACGAAGTCCTTTAATTTGGAATATTTCCGTAGCCTTTCCTTGTCTTTTATGAGGTTGATTTTTTGAGAAATACAAGTTTCTCTCCCCACCCCACTATACCTTTTTTTTTTTTAATGGAAGTTCCTCTTCTTGTGTTTATTGACTGTTTCCCCATGATTAGATTGAGGTTACACATTCTCAGCGGGACCCCAACTGACTCTTAAATTCTCCTCTGACTTTGACAGTGATTTTAGGACTAGGCCTGCTAGCCCAGGCGGCCCACTCACATCCCCTCCTCCAGATGCCCCCAGAGCCTGTGTGTTGGCTGGCCTTGTGCTGTGACATCCCAGCCCCGAGACCTGGTGCTGACCCATGGAGGGCGGAGCTCTGGCCTGGGTCCTCCTGCCTCCACCTCTGACCACATAAAGCAGAAACAGTC